AGCAGAAGTTTCCAGTGCTGCAGACTTCAACGATACCTCAAATCATGCAACCTAATGAGAAGACATAAGCTATTGTTTTTCTAAGAGGTCAAATTTATGATGATTTTCACAAGTGATGCAAATAAATATTCATATTTTAACAAATAATTGAGGATATTAAAATTCTGCATCATTGTCTAAACAAATTAAACGGAATAAACTAAATTAATTTCAAACAGTATTGGGGTAGCACATTACAAACAATGCAAGTTACGCAATCAATTACTTTTTTCAAGTAGCTAACTAAAATAATGCATTACTTTTTAATTTAAAAGAAAATATCTGAGTTTCAAATAAGTAAAGCCATTTATTTTGTTTTCCCATTTGTTGACAGACAGCTCTCCTGTCCAAATGTTAAGAGGAATCAGGAGTGAGTGCAGGTGTTGTGTGCGCTGCGCAAGCATGATGTTACTGTAGTTCTAGACTAAATGTGAACAAGCGTTTACTCCTCACTTGCACAAAAACAGGTTCAGCATTCCTCAAAATGATTAAAAACAGTGAAATGCTCAGAACATGCAAACCTGCAATAATTAAAATGCCAAACACCATATCAATACACATATCTTTGTGTATTTAATCCCATTTTATTAATCAATGTCTTTGCTGCTGACCTTCGATTATCCAATACAACCACACTAATAAGCAAAAAATTACTTTTGTTTTTATAACATTTGCTACTATACAGACATGAATTTACATTTCCTTCAGCCTGAGGCTAAATCATTTCACTTTGTGTGAAAGGACTTTTTACATTTGCCAAAAACAAGACATTTTATAATAAAAACAAACAAGCAAGCCCAGACCGGATTTAAAAAGTAATGCAAAAGTAATGTAACGCATTACTTTCCATAAAAAGTAACGTAATTAGTTACTTTTTTTAGGGAGTAACGCAAAATTAATGCATTACTTCTAACATTTCCCAACACTGATTTTAAACGCTTTAAGTGAATTTCAGCCTTGTAGCATTATAACACAATATGAAAAATTTATATTGTGAGAATTTCTATAGATTACATTTAACGGCGTTATACAATTATTAAGTGTTTTTAAATATTAACTTGAAGTGTTAGATAATGGCAAATGGAAGGGGGGGGGGGGGGGGGGGTAAAAAGAACAGCA